TTGGTGACAGTCATGCACTCCATTTTCTCTGGGTTAGACCAAGCTTTCACCCAAGCATTCACCTTCGACAGTGTACCCAGCGTAGATCAACTAATGCCCGGGACTGCTGAAACAGTGTAAAGTTCCACATGCAAGGATGCATGCAGCTTAAGGGGGGGAGAATGTAACCCTCTCAAGGTTATCCACTGCTGTTCAAGCCAATGATTTAATGTTTAATGTATGTAGTACTAATTCTGTCCAACAGGGGGCAGTGATGGCGCTATAGTTGTCCTGCGCTGCGTTATGCGGCAAGAAGAAGAGCTGCAGCGGGGCAGATAGCCAGCAAGCTAGAAGAAGAACGCCCGAGCGCATGGTGTATCGGAAGAGAATACGAACCTTTTTTCTAAGTGTTAAGGTTTTTATCGTTACAGACTATTAGGATTTGCTTACCACGCATCCTTTTTTTCCAATTGTTTTTTACTGTGTTGGGACATAGTGCGAGAGACAGTTGCTGGATACTCGATCGGCGATTGGAAGGCGAATCCAGTGGGGCTTTTTTCCAGAGACGTATCGCTCCACCCAGAAGGACGGCGAACGAGGATTTTACTCATCTTTGCAGATAAGCACTGGGCTTATCCACACACACACACACTACCCGGGTAGATTGACAAAGTTTTTCTCAGAGCTCTGAATTTATTTTATTATTATTCTTTTTTACTTCAACACCATATTTTACTTTTTTTCTTTCCTCACCAAACCAGAGTGGTTGGTGGAGGTAGAACTGTGACAAGAGACATAAATGGACTAATACTAATATGGAAACTGAACTGACTGATTGAAGGGGGGATTATATTGGGTTTTGTCTCATAAGTGTTGTTAACATTCTGCATATTATTGAAGTTGCTGATGAGACTGTTATGTGTTGTGTTGTAATAAATGTCATAGAGTGTTCTCTATAAGACAGCATAAGGAGGTGTTTTAGTTTTCTTGTTCCTCTTCTCCTCATTGAAAGTACCTAGAATATTCATGTCCCTAAGTTAATCAATTAAGGGATCGATTACATATACATATTTTTATGTCCCAGCAATTATTAAACCCTGAAACAGCTGTTACTCCATCTCACTCTGGATACTGTGGAAGAAGTCTAGTGTGTGTGTGTGTAGTATAATGGTATAGCTTACCACAGACATGAGCGAAAAAAGATAAATATGGAGCCATACAGGCTCGGACGTGACCGGATTAACAAGGCCTGCGTCAGGTGTTGAGGTACCAGAACACCCTGATGAGAAGTGGGCTGCTCCCTGAACTTAGATGGATGATATCCATCCAGATATCCATCCTGTACCCATCACTGTGATTTAACCATCGCAGTGATTATCACAGACCCTGAACATGGTCTAGTAATCATCACAGTGAAGAGTTAGACAGCACCAGACTTCACCATGGCCACACCTACTGGCTGAAGGGGCTGAGTATTCACTGAGTCGATGAGAGACACTCTGAATGGATGACTGAAGGCCGGAGAGTCCTGATCCCCAAATACCCCAAGAAGGGACTGGTCCTAGCCTTGGTACCAAATGGAAGCTTTTGTCAAGCATCATAGTGGGTAAGCTATGGTTCATTACATGAGCGGGGCACAGAAAGGAGGCTACTGGTAGGCCGAGCAGTTGTCTGAGACAGCAAGACTAGGCTCAGCAACCTGTGCGCTGCCTGGGTTGATGCCCCACACCTGGGTTCCTGGAATGCCTAGAACTATACAAGATCAACAGGACCCTAAGAGCCTTCATCAGGAACTCAATGTGTATGTGGCGTACAACACTAGAGCCCATACATTAGAGGCCAACTTCAAGCCCATAGCACAAGTCACCATCAAGTGCAGGTTCTACCAAGGAGATGCACTGTCTCCACTGCTGTTCTGCATAGGCCTGAAACCGCTCAGTGAGATCACTGACAAGATTGGCTACGGATACTGACATCGGAATGGGCCAATCGTCAGCCACCTCCTCTACGTGGATGACATCAAGCTGTATGCCAAGAGTGAATGTGACATCGATTCACTGATCCACACCACCAGGATACACAGCAATGACATCGGAATGTTGTTTGGACTGGAGAAGTGTAGTTGGATGATAACGAAGAGCGGGAAAGTAGAACTGAAGGGATCAAACTACAAGAAGGCAACATTGCCCTTGAGTACCCCAGCTACAAGTACCTGGGGTACTCAAGGGCAAATGGGAACCATAAGGAGACCACTAGGAAAGCTGCAACCACCAAGTACCAGGCAAGTCCCGAGGAGTCAGCTGAAAGGTAAGAATAAGATCTGTCAACACCTACGCCCTGCCTGTGATCAGGTACCCTGCAGGGATAATAAGCTGGCCAAAGGAGGAGATGAATGGCTCACTAGAGCCGGCCAAAACAGCGAACTCCCAGCACATTGTTGTCAAACCCCCCGCGGTCTTTCGCTACTCAGGTTAAACATGATATATAAGTCACTTAGTTAACTTCAAAATGTTATTGTTTGGCTTTTTTCAGTGTTTTGTTTGTGAGTAAATCGGTTTGGCTGAGATTAAAGTTTTCACACAGCTGAATAAACGTCAAACAGATAACTGATTAAACAGAAGTGTGAGATGGTAGCGATTTTACTCCAGTGTCCAGTGTTATATTTTAGGGAGCAAAGAGCAGACGGTTGAGTTTATTAAACTTCACCAAGACAATCTGCAAATTTCATTAAAATGTATGTATAAACTAAATAAACTAAATTCCCAAATGGGAATTCATGTTTTTGTTCTTTCTGAACAGGAGTACCTTACTAGGCTCACCAAAACACCGACTTGGATTGGTTTACATGATAAAGAAGAAGAGGGAAAATGGAAATGGGTAGACGGAACTCCTCTTATTCTGAAGTAAGCTGTCATTTTGGCAGATTATATTAATTATATTTTGTTAGAGATATTCTTTTATCAAACATTCAGGTATAATGAAATAACACTCAGACACTTGTAACAGTTCAACGTGCACAGGTGAGAGCTCAACGGAGACTCACACCCTGCAGCAGTTCTCTGCCTTTATTTATAGAAAGCATGAAGCATACAGATGAGGAAGTAACATTCTTATCTAGTCAAGCAAGCTGCGATGACTTCTTGGAATACTCTGTTCTCAGAATAACGGTGCGTGGGCAACACCCATTCTTAGGCGGCGATTTCCTGTTTCTGTCAGATAATGTAACAGTAAGCAATTTCTTTTAAATGCAAGGTGCAGACAGTTAGTTGTGCAGCTGGTTGAGTGCAAACAGAAATATAAACACTTTTAGCTTTAGTATATCAGCAATAATGAATAATAAAATGTTTTAATAATAAAATCTTCTGACATATTTATAATACATGCTGCTCACAAATAAACTCACTAAAAGACTTAGATGTCAATCGCTGAAAATCATAAAAATTGACTTATTTTGATAGCCTTATGGTGGTCATACATGATATTAACTAAGCATTTTAGAATGAAGAATGTACTTTTAGCTGCTTCCTTATTTCCCATGGGGTTACCACAGCAGGTGAAAACACAGGGTTTTGATTTAGCACAGATTTTAACCTGGGTAATTGTCTCCTGGAATTAAACTGGGGATGTTATTTGTGTAAGTCAAATGTGTTAACCACACAGTTAAAAATGAATAACAGGAAAAAAACATATAGGAGACACCAGCCAACACTACCATCACCTCCTGACAGGGAAAAACAAACAAACAAACAAAATACACAGAGTAGCTTATTTTTTTCACCAAGTTTTGTTTTGCATTTTGTTGCAATTTGTTCTTAACAGCTACATAAATTCAGTGGAATAATCAAGCCAGGAAACTGGCTTGATTAATCCACTTGATTGGCTAGATGTTAGCCAATCCACTTGATTGGCTAACATCTTTGATGTTATAAAAATCTTTTCATCCTTTTCTTGCTTTTATAAATGTTTCAGATCTAATTATTTTCTCAAGGATAATAATTGTGCTCACTGATCTGTCAGGTACTGGGCAGATGGCCAACCTGATAATGGTGGTGGAAACCCATTGTGGGGTGAAGAGGACTGTGCTCAAATCAGGACATTTGACAACACTTTGTGGAATGATATTTCATGCAGGAATTCTCTGCCGTGGGTCTGTGAAAAAATACCATAATACCCACTCCTGATCCTTTATCATTTATTATTTTATTTTTGTTTTATTCCTCTCTGAATACCTATTTAGCTAAAGCATTGCAGTGCTGAGTTGTAGCTATAGCTATATACTGTTCACTTTTATAAATAGATTTACTTCCTGTTGTAAAAAAAGAAAACATAATTTAGCACATGAACTGAGATCCAACTGCTGACTGCCTTTTCTGATATATCAGTTAATTTTACATTTTAAGAGAACCAGTGGACAAAGCAGAACTACAGCAGATTCTCTGGCTCACTGCATATTAGTCATATGTTTATGGATAATCAGAAGTTGTCACAATATGTTAGTAGTTATACTGATGTCAGGTCCTTTTATGGCAGCAATGAAATGCAGTGGAAATGGTTTTTTTGGGAGTAAGTTCATTTTCATGGCGAAGAAGGACTTTTCAATTCATCTGATCATTCTTCTAAACCTTTTGCATTATAAGCAAATTGCTATCATAAAAACAAAAAGCAGCAAACTTTGTGAAAACCAATATTTGTGTCATTCTCAAAACGTTTTGCTACAACTGTACCATGTGACTTGCTGCAATGCAGGTATATTGCATTTTTGTTTTGTGTGGGTTTTTTTTTTCTGGCTTGTTGTTGCAAGCAGTAAAGCTGGGCTGATTGTTCATGATTAATAAATGATTAAGCACAAGTCTGTAAATTACATCTATGTGCACTTTGGTTTAATTAATTAAGTTTGTTCTTTCCACCATGAAAAGAGGAAGAGTGGGCCACCGGAACAGTCTGACAAAGGTTGTATCAAAGTGTTTTTCCTTAAGAAGTAAAAGAGTGAATTTTGCATATACACTGCAGCTCCTCACCATGTGTGATGTGATAGCTCTAACTTTGGGTAATAAGAAAGTTACTGCTGTATAGCTAGTTTCCCCATAATGTGCCATGAGTCTTACAGCAAACAGGCCAGTTTGGATGAATTCACTTAGGTGAAAAGTTAACATATGGGTCATTATGATACAAAAAGGAAGTCAAGTGATCTAACTGGACTTATCAATGGACCACATATACAGTTCAAATGAACTCATGATTCCCCCCATGTGGTAATATATGTGCAGTAACAGGCATCTCCAAGTTTTCTTTGCAGAATTTATTCAGTCAATTGTTAAATATTTATTGACAGGTTTGTCAGCTAATTACTTGAATCACACAATACACAAGGAGATATTCTGGATTTTGGCAATAAAATTAAAGCTTCAGATAGGTCACTTGTCAGCATATGCAACTGGACCATTGTACAATCTGGCAATCAATGCCTTTTTCATTGTACTCATGTTGGCATCTCTGTCTTTCTATATTTGCATGTTTCTATAATGACTCGGGGCGGTGGCCCTTCAGGTAATAGACCCATGAGTAAGGCTTCCTGTGGCCCTCAGAGCTCTGACTGGAGATGGTCAAGGTGCCAAACCACGGTCCTGGAGAGCCATCTGGAGGAGCCTCAAAGGACACCTGGATGTTCTGAATCTCTTTGGATTTGATGCTTCCCCCTCCTTTGACTGTAAAATGGTGGTTGTCAATCTATAGGCATAAACAGGGTTCAGGTTACATAAAATCGAAATAAGCTGCACTATTAAGTGAAGCACATAAACTGAAGCATTTATCAATGCTAAAAAAAAATGCTAAAGTGAAAGTTCTATCAGAGAGAAGCAGGAGTCAAATCTGTTGAAACATAGGGTTGCACAACAGAGTTGCACAATTCTGCCATCTGTTCCAGGCTAAATTTAATGTTTCATGGTGTCGCAGTGAACCCAGTGTAAATACTCCTCAGTAAAACATCCCTGTTTTTAATAACATTGACTTTTTTTGATGTATTTGAATTGGTATGTTGGAAATCACTTAATGTTATGTCAATAAGACATTTTTAGCTTTACGCCACTGCTTGGTCTGGTTTTATCACTGTGCCCATTTTCACAAATTCTACTTGGTCTTTACCAGAAAAGAGAAAGCTGTGGTTTGCAGGAACACATTCTTGAAGGGGATGATGATGTTCCCACCGGCTTTAATGCTGAACGGGCCCTGAGACTGGGGGGGCAAGCATAACCCATGTAAGGGAAATATGTATTCTCCACCAACTCCTGAAGACAGGCTGAGCTGGCCTTTCACTTCTCCCAGCTGAGAAGGCTCAAAACAGACGTCCACGCTGGCCTCTGAGCCCACGTGGAAACCCGGAATTACACTCACACTCTTGTCCACGATAAAGTCTGGGTAATCAGTCTAGAGGAGAGAGACAACACGAGAAAATTTCTGTTTAAAACTGACAGAAAGATACAGACACTGAGTTGTGTGTTGAAAAATTATAAAGAATACATAAAAAGGTGTCTTAAGAAGTGATGAAGGCTGACACTGAATGCATATAAAGTCATCCTAGCATGAATGTATACAAAGACAGAAGAGGACTATTTCTTCTTCTTTGTTTTGTTTTGTTTTTACCTTACAGAAGTACGTGGTTTTGAAACGGGCATAGTTGATAAACTTTACAGTGATGATGTGGCTACGGCCCAGTAAAGCGTTAAAGTGCACAGTTTTCTCTGGTGCCGGAGGCAGAGCTCTGAGAAGCAGATCATAGTGGAAGTGGCCCAGCTCACTGCTGAACAAAGTTAGCCGTGCTGTAGACTCGCCTGCTTGCAGAGGCTTGTACTCGAAAGGCAAAACACCCTAAAAGGAAAGGCAGACATTCACAGACAGTGCCAATAAGAGTTTGTTTATGGAAACACAGTTAGGGGTTTTGTTTGTTTGTTTGTTTGTTTGTTTTCCAAGTATGATGGAAGACATATTCAGTATTCACCTTGGACTGGCCTGGCACCATGTGCTGAGGTGGGACAATGATATCACGGCTTTTACACTCAGTGGTGAGGCAGGAAGCTGTGGTCAGGGGGTTCTCTACTTGAACGGTGGCTGAGGCCGCCCGGCGAACTGATGTCACTAACTCTATGGTGGACAGGACTCCTGGAGACGTGGCTTTGAAGGTAACTAGGTAGAACAAGTACTCACCTGTCTCATGGTGACGGAATGTCACCTGAAGAAAAAGATCAACGGATGTCATGATGGGTAACAAATGTCAGTTCAGATCTGGAAATGTGTAATGTTTGATCAAACCTTGGTGTTAAACTGTCCCTCTGTATATGTAAAGAAAGACATTTCATAGTCCCTGTTAGCATGGGCGGGGACATCGATGAACTTGATGCCCCTGAGGGACACTGTAGCATCTGGTTTATCAGGCTTCACTATCTCTAGCTGCACAAGGAACCTGAGAACACAGATGAGAACATTCATGACATGACTGAGATCATTCCCTCCACTTTTTATTAAAGTGCTAGCATATTTAAATTTTCTATTTCCACTTCACCCAGCTACAGTTTTTATCTCTGGGTCAGTTTAGGCAGCATACACATATTTAAAAAAAAAAATAGCTGGTAAAGACAGTGGTATATTTTGCTGCTAAATATTTAATAACAGATTTATAACATTGGCAACATGCAATTTAAAGTAGGAGAAAAAAACATATTATTTTTTTACACTTGAATGTGTCAGTTACTGCTGCAGAGATTTAGGAGACGTTTCTGCACTCGTGTCACTTTATTTGGAAATCCAGACAAAGATGTGATAAAAACTTATACCAAGCCACCTGGGACCTCCAAACTAAAGGAGACACACAATATCTGCAGCAACAAAACTTAAATTTCAATTTTTGGCATTAGGTTCTTTTCAACATTCTGTGGCTTCTGTGGCAGGAATTTCAACAAATATGGCTGAAGAAAAAAGAGAATGCAAGGATGATGCTGCTGAATTTGGACCTTATCCTGACAGTAATCATGCCTCGAGAAGTTTTAATAGCAGCCCATTTCTTATTTTGATGTTTTGTATTTGTTTGTTAGTTTGAAGCGGTTGTTTGTGGTTGTTCTGATCAATGCAATTACATTATTAACCTGCAAAAACACATTTTTCCTTAATAAAGTTTTATTACACATAAATAAACAATATTTGGTGGTGCCATTAACAAACTTCTCCTGTTAGTAAATTAGCTGAATATCATCTCTTGACCTTGTGCTAACCTTGCTGATTCAGCATGTCATATTAAAATGAACTGACTGTGCCTGTGCCTAGAAAACAGTGCAACTTCCCCATAAATATTCAATTCAATTCAATTCAATTTTATTTATATAGCGCCAAATCACAACAAAAGTCGCCTCAAGGCGCTTCATAGATACAGAGAAAAACCCAACAAT